AATTCAATATAGTTTTGCTGAATGGATAAATAAAAGAATAAAGAAAAATAAAAAGAACAAAAGACAAGTTGGGGTCGAGAAACACAGGAAATGAAACTGAATATATCTCCTCCTCCCCCAAGGCTCTGCTGGAGTTTCAGTTTAGGTGAGAAAGCCCAGTTCATATTAAAAATACTCCTATCTCACCGCCATTACTATCACTGCTGTCACTGCTGCCACCAGACAGTAAGCATAAAGACCAAAACTAGAAGTTCTAGCTCTGGCTCTGCTAACTGTAACTTCACCCTCCTGGGCCATACCTGCAAAATGAAAGGACTGGATATTTAGCTTTAAAATTCTAAAATTCTAAATCCAGTTTACAATTTGGTAAACCCATCTCAGCTTACTCCATTTCTGCCTTTTGATAGAAGGCTTCTGAATGAATCTTTTATCTTTAACTTGTATCTAGGTCCTCTCTCCCAGCCCAAGGATCCATGGTCATGAACACTCACACACAAACACTATGGTTTTTCTCTCTTATTTATCTTTAAGGAAAAAAAAGAAAGATATATAGAAATCTCAACCCTCCAATCATGCAGGTCTAGTTCTGATGCGGTTCCTTTAAGGCTGGAGGGTATCCCCAAGAGATCATGAAGTCTTGGCCCTCCCTTCAAATAGGTCATTTCACACTGTTACTCATCTTCCAATTGACACAGAACTAAAACTGACACTCCCAAAGAACACAGAGTACAGATTTTTGTGGTTTAGACCTCTATGTAGTCAGAATATTGACCTTTTGATTTTTTTCTTTTAGAATTTTAGGAAAGATTAAGTTTTTTAACTGTGAGAACGCCTTAGCGCCAGTAAATAATGTTTTAGAGAACCAACTAAAATAAACAAACCTACTTTTTTCCTGTAAAGTGAAAGGACAAAGAATAGTGTAAGAAATCCATACTTATGTGGCTTAAAAATAAGAAACTCCAAAAAGATGCAATAACTTTCCTATTTTGGTTTAAAAACAATAAAAAAAACTGTTTCACCGAAGCAATGGGAAAGGGGGAGGAGGTAATAAAACAAACTGCAAAACCCAACCATCCTCATATTCAGAGAGCCAGGAAAGAGAAAAACCCTCTGACTTGCCCTACAACAAATTAAGCAAGCAAAGGAAAACCATTTAACTAACCCCACCCTCCCTTCTCTTAGCTTTACTAGTAATACCACCATATTTTTTTGCAAATAAAAGCACTCATGCACATAACCTGCATAGTAAACTAATGCACAAGGGGGCTGCATAGTTTGAAAAAAAGAACTATGTAACACGCATATTATTTGTAAAGATATGGCATTCAATTTTCTCTTCTGCCCCTCATTGTCTAACCTTCTGCTCCAACTCCAAAAAGAATCCAGGATAATATTCTAGTTCTATTTTCAAAGTAATGTATCCCTGTGTGGTGTAAATGGTTAATGCACTCAACTGCTTACCGAAAGGTTGGCGTCTACCAAGAGGTGCCTCCAAAGAAAGGCCTGGTGATCTACTTATGAAAGCGCAGCACTGAAAACTATGGAGCACAGTTCTACTCTGACACACATGGGATTGCCATAAGTAGGAGTCAACTCGATGGCAACTGCTGTCAGTATATTCAAACTATACCCATTTTAGGGTTAGTTCTCTGTTTTGGGTTCCCTTCTTAATGCTTTCCTTGGGTTTGCAAAAACATTAAAGTTGGAGATTTCAAATTCAATCTACATTTTGTAAAACATAAAATGCATACCCAATTTGGTGGTGTAAACAAAAAAATCATGGTAAATCTGTGAGATGTAAGGTTAAAAAAGCTAACTCAAACCCAAACCGAGCCAGATAGTGCCAATATCCCTGCTTCCAGATTTACACTCTCTTCATTCCAAGCTCTTAGCTCCTAATCTCCTCCTCTCACAGATCAGGCGAAACCCTCCATCCATCTGCCTGACCCCACAGTTTCATCCTCCCACTCAACCAACACCACCACAGGGCTCCCAGGCAGGTGGTCCTGCAGCTGCCACTGGCAGAAGAACCCTACATAGAGACCAGAGGGAGCTGGCATAGTAAAAAGAATGCTGACTTCAAACAGAGGTACATTAAAATATACATCCACTCAATTGTTGATAGCAGATGCATTTGTGCCAAGAAAACCACATTCTCCAATCAACAAATTTGTGGAAGATTTTGTTCATTTCAAATGTCTACTCCTCAGAAAGTATGTAAGGGCTGCCTTCCAACATATGTGTTTGAAATGCATAAATTAAATCTGAGAGACTTCAATATTCTGGAAAACTCTTAACTCAAGTTTATTTTTATTCTCCCCAAAGAAGCAAAAAGTTAATCAGGATTGTTGTTGTTATGTGCCATTACATCCCTTAAAATATCTACTGGGAAACCTATTAGTTGAATATACATAGGTTTGCTGTCTTAACACTGACACTTGTTGTTGTTGTTGTTATGTGCCATCGAGTCGGACCCGACTCATAGCGACCCCTCCTTGGGTTTCCAAGGCAATATCACTATGGAAGTAGATTGCCCAACCTTCCTTCCAAGAAGTGGCTGGCGGGTTTGAACCGCCAGCCTTCTGGTTAGCAGTCAAACGCCTTAGGCACTATGCTACCAGAGGTCCTCTTGATAGTTTTACTCAATTTTCTTTAACTGTTTCAAGTGTGTAGGCTTATCTCCCCTACTCTGTGGTTGTTGTTAAGTGCCATTTGAGTTCTTGAGTCAGAGACTCATAGCAGGCAGTATCACTACGGCAGTAGAGTGCCCAACCTTCCTTCCAGGACAGGAATCAATAACTCTGGTATCTCAACCTGCATTTAAGTATATTGTTGGTCACTTGGCAGATAATACAATTGCCAATTTGACTCAAAAATATTCTAAAGCAATTATTTTTTTTAGTATTCAGTTTTCTGTTTGTTTTGTTTTTGGACTGTTACAGATCCCTTTATGCTTTTTAAACTGGGAACACACAAGAGATTCTATTTGATAAATAAAGCACAGAAAGCCTCATTACGTTCTTTACTGTCTGGATTATAAGGAAGCACCAGTGACTGACCATTTTGAGAGGGAGATCTCATTTTATTCCTATTTCCTTCAGCTAGTCCTCTACCCCTACTTCCCACCACAGCATAAAATGGTCAATGAACGGTTCACTGAGCTGAATTCTTTAGGTAGAGTTCTGCCATTCTGGTCATTTTTCCCATTTGCTTTACTCCCTTCTTTCTTCATTCCTCCCCAGACTCCAAAGAAAGTCTCATTCTGAAGACATTCAGAAGCAGAACTCAAGAGCAGAGAGAGGACAGAACCCTATCCTCTTCCAAACCCAAAGAAGCAGATTTTCCTCCTTAAATATAAGGGTTATCTTTCCAGCTAAGGATCCTTAAGTCTTGTTTGCTTTCAACCTCAAGGAATTCTACCTTCTGGCATTAAGTAAGGCTGATTTATCTGGGTAGACACAAAGCTTTGAGCAATGGATCTAAAAATTCGAATGTTTATCCAATATAGAGGGAGCTCTGGTAGCGTAGTGCCTAAGGCACTTGACTGCTAACCAGAAGGCTGGCGGTTCAAACCCACCAGCCACTCCTCGGAATGAAGGTTGGGCAATCTACTTCCATAGTGATACTGCCTTGGAAACCCAAGGAGGGGTCACTGTGAGTCGGGTCTGACTCGATGGCACATAATAACAACAACAACAACAACATCCAGTACAGGTAAGATCTCATTCATTTTACACTAACAGAAAACCACACCAAACTCACTGACATCAAGTCAGTTATGACTCATAGCAACCACCACTGGTTTTCCAAGACTGCAAATCTTTTTGTTTTTTCCCCCTCTACCTAACAGTATTCCCTCCCCTCCCCAAAACTGTAAATCTTTATGGAAACAGATTGCCTAGTCTTTCTTCCAAGGAGAAGCTGGTAGGTTCGAACCACTGACCTTTTTGGTTTGCAGTCAAATGCCTTAACCACTACACTACCAGAGCTGCTTTATACTAACATAAAAAATTACTTTGCACTATTCTTCTGAAGTAACTGATACTAATTTAAAACTTCAGTGATAAATGTGTACTCTGATCCTCTTCATTTGAACATAGTGCTATCATTTATCAACCAAGTACAAAAATGATTTTTTTCCTTCTTTAAAAAGTGCATCATTTTTGTCTACTTTAAAAATCCAGGTGAGTAAGATTCTGTATTATATCTGTGATTCATTCTCAAATGAGATGTTACCATAGACCCACTCTTCTCTTTCATTATTGTTATTTGCCATGGAGTTGGAAACCCCTCCTCGGGTTTCCGAGGCAGTATCACTACAGAAATAGATTGCCCAATCTTCCTTCTGAGAAATGGCTAGTAGTTTTGAACTGCCAGCCTTCTGGTTAACAGTCAAGTGCTTTAGGCACTATGCTACCATTAGAATAGAACTTTAGTTTTAAAGTTTCTTACAACTTATAGGGAACAGACCTTCAAAAAATAAAAATAAAAGGCTTTGCCTTTAACATTTTGACCTCTTTACCTTTTTGTATGGTTTAGATCTCAGTAAAAACTAACTGGGACTAAGAAAAAATTAATGCAAAATTTTTTTTTTCTTTGCATTGTTTAAGAAGCCAGTTTTCCCCCCAAAACAAGAAAACAAAGGCAATTCAAAACCCTCCTGAAAGTTTCCGGTGACAGAAATCTCTATCTTGATCAGGGTGTGGGTTACACAGGTGTATACACTCTTCAAAACACCAGACTGTATGCTTAAGATATGTTTTACTGTATACAAATTATGGAACAATTTAAAAATTTTAAAATCTTTCTGTAAAATGTATTTCAATATCTGCCATCAGCAATATAACTTACCTAAATTTTTGATAGGTTAGCAAGATCCTAAACCCAAAAAAACTCTACCCAAAAGCCTCTGATATCCCCCTTTCCCACACTCTCCAGACACTTCCATCTCAAATCTATCTTCAAACTGGAATTTGCCCAAGATATGAAATTCCACTCACCTCAACTGACTGAGAAGGCATTTTCAGCTTGGTGAGCTTGGCTTTGGCAGGCACTTTCAAATCTGTTTTTTCAAAAGTCTGTTGACGGTAGTCCTCTGGTGGTGGTTTCAGTTCAGGAGACTCACTAGGAGCCTGATCTTGACCATCCATGGGCCGGACATAAGCTGTGGGCTTCTGCTGCATTGCAACACTTTTTGAAGGGAGGGAAGGTGGGGGAAATGTCTGAGAAGATGGCTGGGGCGGGGCCACCCCAAGGCTGGCAAGTGCCAACAAACTATCTTGAGGGGTCTCTTTATCATGCACCTTCACTGCTAGGTCCTTGGGAGATTTGGCTGGACAGTAGCCTTTATTATTATTGTTACTGCTGCTGTGAACCTTGTTGCTTCCTTGTGTCCTGGGAAGAGTTTGCTGGTTGGAATGTATAGGTGACAAAGGGGGTACTGAGGAAGGCAAAGAGGAGATTAAGGGAGACAGTTTCCTCTCTGGAGTCGGGTCTGTAATTGAAGCACAATGGTCTCCATCAGCTCTGTGGTCACCTTTTTTGTGATGGCTAGAGCCATAACTCTCCTGACCAAGCCGATCTTGGGTCATGTGCTGGCTGTCCAGTGGGCCATAGCTTTTAGCATGGAGACTCGGTTCCATTCTTGGCTGTGCCATCTTCGGATTGTGGCTAATGTTACCAACAGGAAGTGGTCCAGAGGCAGGAGTGTTAGTGGGCTGGTGGTGAATGCTAGTGTGGAAGGAGTGGGGTGGAATGCTGCTTCCTTTTTCAGGAAATAAAGGATATCTTGGCTTTCCCAATCTATTTTCAGAAGCATCAAAGCAATGGGGGTGGGACTTGGTACTAAGAAACTCCTTTACTTCTTCATAATTCCCCAGCATATTCTGTATTCGACTAGATAGCTCATCACCTTTTTCTGTCTGAAAAAGAAGAGAAAGAGTTATATACTGAAGAAAAAATTAAAAAAAAAACTATTTAATAAACCACATGAACTTTTTAAAAAATTTTTATTGTGATTTGGGTGAAAGTTTAGAGAGCAAATTCACTTTCCATACAGCAGCCCACATACACTTTGTCTCATGACAATGACTGCAATTTCCCACAATGCAACAGCTCCCCTCCCACTTCCTCCCCATAGTTACTTCTTCCCTGTGTCTTTCCCTCCCATGCACTCCTGGCCCCCAAGCTGTCTCTTTGTGCACACAGCCCTTCTATTTTCCCATGATTGCTCTCTCCAAGGAGTATATCTACCTAATGTAAATGTTCAGCTCATATGCCTGTCTTTTGTTTGGCTGGAAGCCACAGGAGTGGGTTCAGTTCCAGCCTAAAGAGGAGCTAGAGGCCATAGTCTCAGTTGTTCCATCAGGCTCTATCAGACCAGCAAAACTGATTCACTTTTTTTTGTTTGTTTGTTTAATGATTTTGAGTTTTGTTCCACGTTGTTCTCCCACTCTATCCAGGATCTCCTACATAAATCCCCCTCCGACATAATAACATTTTTTAAAACTTTTAAAATGTAAGGTGTAGCACATAAAATTTAAGGTGTAATTTTAACTCTATTCTGTCATAGACACATTACCACACATAAGAGACAAATATTACAAAAGAAAACCACAAACTACTGCAGATGCTGATTAACTATGTTCAGAGAACTTTTTATATTTTATTTTCAAACCCAATCCCTAGGATAAGTATCTTATTTTCACAGTTAGGATCTTGTTGAATTCTTTTCATCACAGAGTTAAATATCATGATTAATCAGACTTTATTCTTCTAATATACAATAAATACCTTGTAGGGCTCTCCAAAAAGGGGAATCTTTTCAGGAAATGCCTCCTTCTCCTGGTGAGCTTCCTGGTTCCGTCTTTCCTTCTCTCTAATTCGAAGCAGGTTTCTGTCTTCATTATATAAGCTGTTTCAGATGCCACAAAAGAACAAAAACAATAAAATATATCAGCATCCAAGTTTTTTCGTGCATATATATGGACATATGTGAAGGGAGGTGAGGGCAGGTTCAAGAAGAAGTGACTACAAGCGCTAAGAGCTAATGAAGGCCTACATCCGTTAGCCCACGACTAGACGGAGGCCTCAGTCAGCAGGCTGGGATCCTCCAGACGGGGGTCCCAGCTCCTGAAACCCAGGAATTCACTCTGTGCTATGGCCTGCATGGCTCAGGACTAATCCAAAATGAAGCCTTTTATAGATAGGGGTGGAACTGATACACAATTAATGATATTTTATGTCAGCTTGCAAAATATGGGGTACAGGTAGAAGCTTTTCATCTGAAGGAGTCAGCAGGATGTGAACTTTAAAAAGGCTGTTTTCGGCCAACAAACATATGAAGAAATGCTCACGATCATTAGCTATTAGAGAGATGCAAATCAAAACAACAATGAGATACCATCTTGCTCCAGCA